CCAAAACTGGACACAGCATTCCAGGTGCGGCCTCACCAGCGGTGAGTACAGTGGGACAATCGCTGCCCCAGTCCTGCTGGCCACACTATCCCTGAGACAAGCCAGGATGCTGTTGGCCTTCTGGTGGGAAAGGCAAGCTGCCCCCAGGGGAGTGAAGCCCACGGAGCACTGCAGGCAGGCACGTAGCCCTTGTTGCCTCTCCAGCAGGAGATGTGTTCTGGTCAGGTCACTCAGTTGCACTGCAGGTTGCTGAAGGAAGAGGTGAGCAGGCTTTGCACCATCATGGAAGGTGTAGAAGAGGTCAGCAGCACCTTCATGGAAAGCAAGGGGCAGAGCCACACACGGCAAGGAAGGAGTGCCAGTTGGAGACCCTGGTTAAATGGCTGATGGAGGGTGGCTGTCAGCATGGAGAAGGGAGGAAGCTCATGGTTTCCGGCAACAGGAGGAAGATTTGTGCTCCCCCTGCAGCTCTGCCACTTCAGAGTAGATGTAGCACCCAGGGAACTTCTTTAGGCAGCTGGAGAAAGCTTCACAGGCACAGCCCTTGTGCTTATGGCTGGCTTTAACCACCCCAGTATCTGCTGGACGGGCCTGTGGCTGGGTAGAAGCAACCTAGGAGATTTCTGGAAAGTATTGGAGGTAAATTTCTTGATGCAGTTGATTGGTGAACTAACTGGGAGAGATGCTCTACTGGACACACTACTCAGGCAAGAAAGAACTCGTGGAAGATGCAAAGGTCAAGGGCAGCCATGGCTGCAGTGACTAAGAGACTGTGGAGTTGAAGATTCAGAGAGGAGTGAGCAAGATAGATAAACAGAATTACAGTCCCAGACTTCAGAAGAGCAGATTTGGGCCTGTTCAGGAACCTGCTTGGGAAGATCCCACGGGAAACAGCCTTGGAGGACAAAGGGGCCCAGGGGAGCTGGGTGATCCTCAAGAACAATTATCTCGGAGCACAAGAATGGTTCAGTCCAATGTGCAGAATCATTAATGCAAAAAATGAACAGATGTTCAGAATTACCAGGGGTACAAATGTGACTACATAGGTACCTATGAACTACAGTCCTGTTTCTCCAGAAGTGTGTTTTTAAAACAGCTTAACAGAAGCTACAATTTGCTATTCTGTATGACTGGCCTAACAATGATTTTTTTTTTCTCTTTTTTTAACAGTACTACATTGAAGAGACAATTATTGAGGAAGGTGAACCACATGAGGTAAAGGTCCCTGTGATGTTGCATGTGGAGTATATATGCATGTAATTAATGCATAATGCTAAATTAGTGGCCTTTTGTATTCTGAGGACTGATTTTTCATATTAAACACACAACTATCAGTGAACAGTTGCTTCTTAATACTTTATTTCCTCTGTTGTGGAATGATCCAGAGGACTCCTAGCTTGTTCTGAGTATCCTATCTGCCACTCTTTGGTTTCCATTAGAAGGAGTTGTGGGTGTGTCCATCAGAAAAGGACTGTGCTAATTTCTGTCCTGCCCTGTGTCTTGCTGATAGTCTTCCATTTGCTCCTGCCCAGCAGCTGTTTGCACGGGACCTGACAAAATGAAGCAACAGGTTACGTTAATAACAAGAAACACAGGCAGGAAGGTTACTTGGGTAACATATTGACCAAATCCAATCACTAATGTTAAAGATGAGCAGAATTATCGAGGATGTGAATGTGACTGGATATGTACATATGAACAACAGCCACATACATGCATCTTACTTAACCTTGTTATGAAGGGAAATCTAAAAAGATTCTGCCAGAAACCAATTTACATGTATCAGTTCTGTTCCATTCACCTTGTGTAATTTCATCGAAAAGTGGGTGGTTTGCAGATTTTTTTCATGTCATTGGTAACAAATACTTGAGTCACCAAGGACTTATTACCATAATTTGAAATTCTACTTATAAAATAGGTATAAACCAACTCTCTGCTATGTTACCATGAAATATTCTGTATGGCACAGGCTTATGTGGAAACAAAAGCTTAATGTTTCACTTTGTGAGTGTGTTTCCTTCCAAAGAAAGGATCTGTTCCCAAAGTCTTCCTTTGTTTTTAACGTAATAAAATACGATTTGATTAATACTGTTTGAGGAAGTAATCTAGGACTGCACTTTTGAAGGAAGACTGCCATCTTACTATTTTTCAGCTTAATTCATCCCCTGCATTCATCAGGTGTTCTAAAACCTGTAGCCAGACTGGATTTAAAGGGAACAATAACATAACTGATTATTTCTGTGTCTCATTTGCGTCAGGTTTTGAAAACAGTATTGTGGAATGAAGAATTGCATATGAGTACGAATGTCCTTGTAGCTAACGTGATCAGACCTTTTCCCATCAGCTCTAAATATAGTGTAATGCATTAGCATCATGTGGTCCTATGAGTTATCATATGAAAATAAAAGCTTTTTTTTTTCCACAAAATGCTGTATTTTGAGAATCAAGCCTCTCCAAGTTTTAGAAATATAGTACAACTTTTTATAAAAGCACATAGCTTCACTGTTTTGTTGTAAAGCTAACAGCAGGTAGTGCTGTTCACAGTGTTTGCCTAGACAGGTTTCAACCTCTCCAGTGCTTTTGGTGCCAAAACTTAGATGAACGCCTGTATATTTGAAAAGAGTTGTAAGAAGGAAACTTGTGGCGGTGCTGAAGTAGCTAATAACATCTTGGGACAGCACTAGTGAAACGCAGTTGATGTTCACATAGTAAACAAACCTTTTGTAATTTAACTTTTGTATACTCCTCTATTTAATGTTTAATGCTTGGTGTATTTTCTGGTCTGTCTTGTACTAATGCAAATAGCTATCAGAAATATGAGCCTCATGCATTCCCTTTTAAAGGTGCCTTTTTTTTTTTTTTTAAAGCTAACATGAAATAAAACTTGACACTTATTGAGGTGATTTTGGAGCACATTTTTAAGTCGTAATAACTTTTTAAATGCTTTTAATTAGAATCTTAGTATTAAAATTATTGCTTACAGCATGAATGTGTTGATAAACAAGTACATAAACCACTTAAATCCATTAAGGGCTTATTTCCAATGGATGCTTGATCAATTGATTATATAAGCATCTCAGCTATGTCTCTGCCATGGTTGTGATCTGGCTATGAGAAAATGTAGTTTAGTAGAAAAGGTGGATTCTGGGTATTTGTTCAGTCAGCTGGTGCATCATGTGCTTACTACAAGATCCCAAAGACTTGGTCTTGTCTGTCTGCTGTGTCCTTTCCTTTCCTTTTGCAAGAAGAAGATAATCTCGTTGAATGACTGTATGCACCTTTGACCTGCTTTCACAACTTTCAGCAACGTGATGAGGGGCCCTGGCTGTGTGACGTGTGTCTTCAACGCATCATCAGCACTGAGAACATTTCTACACTTTGCTTTTAGTAGCTGGTGGTCCCACCTGAGAAATCCCCTGATGCCAGTGGGAGTTACGCATATAGAACAGAGGCAACAGGAGCCCCACTCTTCCGCCTCTCTGGAGAATAATTACATGACTTTGATACGGAAATCAGCCAGTCAGTTAATTCCTTGTGGGTTTTTTTAGGTTGGGTGATGTATAGTAGGCATACTGGGTAATCCCAGTAGGAAAAGTGTCACTGATTTTCTGTCTTGCAGGTGGTTCCTGGATAAGAACTGAGCATCCTTTTACTAGATATAGGGCAGGTGAAAAACTCATCTCATAAAACGATGATTTATAGTTATAAAGCAATTAATTTTTCTTTTTCTTTATTCCCAGGTGGTCACTGAGATCACTGAGACCATTAGCACAGACTTCACAGGTCCTAAAACTACCACCTATATTGTTGAGCATGAAAAACCTTCTGTTGAGGATGCAGCACCTCCAGTCAGAAAGAAGATAATACGGACAAAAGTGGACCCATCTAAGTTTTTGACACCTTACCTGCAACATAGTAATAAAATGAAGGACCTATTCAGTGAGGTAAATTGTTCCATGTCTTTTATTTCTTGAGGAACACCAACTTTGAAAATATTTAATAGGTATTATTGCAAACTTTCATGCTACTATTTTGTCTCCTGTACTTCATTGCATGATGTGTATTAATTAGTGTTATTTGCTTCTTTGAATCAGCCAATCTCTTGCCCGTTCCCTCCTTAAGTGCATAAGGTAATCATTAGGCACAAAAAGTGGCTTGAGGCGGATGGCTGAAGGTTGTCAGAGATGTCAGTTAATGGGACCCATGCACTATCTGACTTACATATCCAAGTGAAGGTTAAAATAAGCATAACTCTGCAAATGTAGTTGAGTAATGGCAGTTTGTATTATTCAATAATCTGCCCAAAATTCCTATACTAACCAGATAAATAAATCAATAATTGCTACATACATTTCTGCTAGAGCTTTAGGGTGTGTCTTAATTATATTTGTCATTATTTTCTTTCAGAACAAATATAAAGAAAAATATAGAAAAGAAAAAGGAAAGCCATATGCTTCTACAGTTGATACCCCAGAAATTCGGAGAATCAAGAAAGTGCAAGACCAGCTCAGTGAGGTAGTCATCAATTGTCATAAGAAAAAATATTTACTAAGTGGTAAAGAAGCAAACTGAGTCACAATTTTAAATGTTAGATAAGTGATAATTTTTTGATGATATTGTGTCAAGGCAATCTGAACGTTTAGCAGAAACTTTATCAGATTACAAGAGTGAGGAATACACAGCATATGACAATTTGAGTTCTGTGATGTAGGTTGCAATTTAGGCCTTTCAGGAAGGGAGATGTGATGGCTCCTTTTTAGCTGAATAATAGTTCTGTTTCATTGTGCCTAAAGAGGTTTGAAAATTTCTGATCAGAAGTTACAAGGCACAGGAGATGATGGCAATGCCCATGTCATTGAATTTGAAGGTTCCACACGCTATGTCCTGCAGTCATCATGAATGATGTGCCTGATGAATTTTTATTGCACTTAAATTGTGCACTGGGTAAATAAGCCTGGAATTTTGTTTTTAAAATGTGTTTAAACGTTTTTGTTCTCATAATGCAACTGAAAGTCAGCTTCGTAAAGAGATACTGGAAAAATGATGCTTAGATTCTCCAAGTGTTGCAAAATGAACTTCTGTACGCCTTATCATTTACTGTGGGATTTTCCAGGATGTGTTGTCCCCTCTGTGTGAATCCCACTCTTAGTGATCTGCCTTTGAAAGCTAGACCAAGTGCAATTGCCCCCCTGATGGAGTGCCTCTTGTTCTGGAAGCTAGCTCATCCTCCCCTCTTTTCTTTTAAGCAACGCTAGTCTACCTTTTAACAATACACCTCACGGTTTGGGAAACTGAAATCCACCTGCAAAAGCTTCTTAATTCTTCATACAGTAAATAGGAACAGTTGAGTCCCTAGGAATGGCAACCCCTAAAGCTGAAAGGGTAGTCACCTAACCTAACTGGTGTTCAGAAGAGTGAGCATTAAATCCTGCTCCACTCCTGACCTAGGATATATTGAGGAATGTGATGCAGCAACCCATGCACTAATGCTGACTGAGCCTGCTGTCAAGCTGGGAGCGGTATAACCGCGTTAGGATGATTTTTGTGCCCAAGCTGCTGGTTTGCCATGGTAATGTGGCTATGTTGTCTTTGGCACTACAGCTAGTGTTTACATGGTAATGGACTGTGAAATTGAGATATACTGCATAGCATGGAGACCTCTCTATCTCATTATAGCAGGTGGAAGTACTCTTAGAGAGAACTCTGTGATTACAGAAGGGCACTACCTCTAGCTTGGATTCACAGCTCTTGAAACTGTCTCAAAACTGCATTTCTTTCTCGGTTAATTCACAAAACCTGTTCGTTTCCATAGGCTTCATTCCTAAGGAGCAGCTAGTCCTAAATGCTTTATTGAATTCAGATTTTGGGTGTTCACAGTATTAAGTGTAAAAATGTCAATATTTTGCTTTTAAAAAAAACTCTCAGTTTTTGCTGTAAGAATAGATGTGTTTTCTTGTGCATTGATCTAGGTTAAATACCGCATGGCTGGTGGAGTTGCTAGAACTATTTGCCACATTGATGAAAAGGCCAAAGATATAGAACATGCAAAGAAGGTGTCACAGCAAGTGAGCAAGGTGAGTGAGTCCGGACTTTCTGGCAGGATTGTGAACACTAGTGGATCGTGAGGTTACTGATACGATTAAAGTTTTGAGCTCAGGGCACTAAAGCAGTGTTTATAGAACAGTTTAGAAGCACAGGGAGAGATAGCAGAGAAACTGATAAGGCAAGTATAAATATAGTCTTAAATGTTTGATGTCTTCAGGAGTCGCTGGTTTGAGACTTTCACTTTGAAAAAATCTTTAAAGCAGGTAGTTTCTTCACAAATGTAAACATTTTTCTAAAAATGGAGTAACCAACGTGCTGATCTTTCTTTCCAGGTGTTATATAAACAGAACTGGGAGGAGAATAAGGACAAGTACCTGCTTCCCCCTGATGCTCCAGAGCTTGTGAATGCAATAAAAAACACAGCACTGTTCAGTAAGGTAAGAAAAAAAAAATCACAGGTCTAGGCAGCTGAAGTGCAAGAAGCATTTCAAGTCAGAGATCAATTCATAATGGGTATTCTGGCATTTTTCTGTTTTTAAGAAACTCTATACCGAAGACTGGGAAGGAGACAAAACATTATTCTATCCATACAATGACAGTCCAGAGCTCAGAAGGGTGGCACAGGCTCAAAAGGCTCTGAGTGATGTAAGTATCAAAGCCTGATTGACCGTTGGGTCACTGTTACAGTGTAACTTGGTAGTCTTTTGGGTAGATATAAAAACTTCATAATGGAACAGAAAACAAAAATGCATAGGTGTGCACTGATAGCTCTGATAGTAGTGCTATTTCAGTAGGAAAGTATGCAGAGTATAAAGTATACTTTATATAGTATTAGAGTATAAATCCATTGGCAATATATATTCAATATGTACTCTATATTAGAGTATAAATCCATTGGCAATTTGATGCCGGATTATGAGTGAATGAAATAATTAATTTACGAAAGATCTTCTGAGGTAATCAGTAAGAAGACCTCAAGTATCTCTCAAAATGTGTGGAGAAACTCTCCAGGCTGGCTGTAAGCCCAGTTCACTGTTGTGGGTCTACGAATCTGTCTCTCTAAAACAGTGATAAGAAAAGTCAGGAATCTGTGAGGCTGTGTGATTTGCTGATACTTAGCTGCACAGAACTCTTCAACAGAGGATTTCAGGTCTCACTTAAAATTTCACTGAATTTCACAGATGTCCAGAAGTTCCCTAGTCCGTGTTTATCAGAAGTAACAGTGTAATAGACTTGAAAACTTTTCCAGGGAACAGATTCTTTTTCACTGTCTCTTATCAAGAGACTGCTCAGTAGTCTTCCAGAATACATTGATTGGAAGAGTTTATGCTGCAGTAGCTGTGGACAGGAACTACTTTTGTTAGTGGTGGCGTTAGCAGAGTTAAGAGTACATGTTCTGATGCTTAAGTTGGTAGTTATTGTAAATGTTTACTTCTTTCATATTTTCAGATTGTCTACAAAAAAGGGCATGATGAACGAAAATCTAAATATACTCCTCTGCCAGATCCACCTGATGTGGAGCAAGCCAAGAAAGTGACAAGGCAGCTGAGTGATGTGAGTAGAACGCAGGGCTCTTCTTTCTGTAGAAACCACACTTTGGAGTTAGAGAGGCAAAAAGGTAGCAAAAGAAAGGGAAGGCAAAAGAAAAGACCAGAGCTCATATGAAGTCCCCTTTGATTTTCAGTGGTGAAAGTCAGTTCCTTTCTTCCTCAAATGTCTCGGAGAAAGTCCTGCCCAGTCTCAGGTGAAAGGCTAAACTTTATTCTTGTTGGTGACTCTAGTTTTCATAAAACATTTCTGCTTCTACCATACACACATTACTTCCCATTGTCCCTCTTTTTTTTTTTGTCTCCCGCTTTACACTTTCTGTGTTTTCAGGAGAAAATAGTAAACAACATCCGTTTCACTGCTCTCTTAAATGTAAACAAGGACATGTAAATGAGTGAGTTACTTGCTTACAAGGAATAACCCCATTTTGCTGAAAAATTGTCTAGGCTAACTGTGCAGAACACATTCTAGATGTTCATTTCAGTGCCAAACTATTGTGCACGTACATATCCCAAGCATTCTTAAGTTCATGGATACCAATCAGTGGAGATGTCTGGCAACTTAGATAACCGTTTCCTGATTTGCACACCAAATTAACAAGTAACATTCAACATTACATTCCGTAACTGTGTGGCATAAGTAGAAAAGACTCTAGCACCAGTCCTTGTCAATGCATTTTAGGTATACTTAGAATAAAACACAGCTGAGGAGTGCAGGAGGTGAAGTGAAATACAGGAAGACCAATTTTTGCTGAAGAAGCTGGAACTCAGTCACATAATCTTGTAAGACAGAAGTAGGATTTTAACTCAGTTCGGAGTTTAGCTATTACGATGAGGATACGCATGATTTTATTGCTGTGTATTGAAAATTATTTGCTGTTCAAGATTAGGGAGCTACAGTATCCACTTATGGTTGCAAAGCCACTAAAAAAATGTTGTACTGAACCCATTTGGAAGGTGAAAGAAGGTAGTATTTAATTTAGAAAAATTTCTTGAATCTTACTCTTCCATAGCTTAAAAACTAAATTGTCATCAAGAAAATTTCTAGACAAGTGAAAAGCAAGATCAGTATCATAATTATTTGTAATGAATAAAACAATAAGCTATATATGTGTATCTAAAACAATAAAATATAGAATTTTTTTAAGGTTGTTTTTGGCATATATGTTCTCTATCTGTGTGGTAACAATTAAAAAGGCATTGGAAAAGTTGTATTTTCTGTGACCAGCAATGCAACTGAGGCTGAAAATGCATTTGGAACATTGAGTCAAAACTCGGGAAGATGTTTTGTTATCAGACAGACAGGAACTGTCTGTTTAAACAGTTGATAATTGACTTCCATGTGCTTGAATATAGTCTAATAGAAATCACATATACCAGGCAATCCATATATTAAAAAGGTTTTCTTATAACAAGTTTCACCAGCAATAACAATAAATTCCTGTTTAACCAATGGGCAATCCTATGTCCCAATATTATGTGACCAGTGAGAAAACAGAACTAAAGGAATATGTTAGTGATGTCTCATAGAGAGATTTTCTTATTAATAACTGTCTTCTCAAAGAGGTGAGTTATTTCACCTATTTATCCTTTTTTTTGCTCAGGGAAGGTACTAAGAGAAATAACTGAATACTGAAGTGGTTAGGCCAAACCATATTTAAGGTGTTTTTGACAATAACTGATATAAGGCAGATGTAAAATGTGAAGCAACTTTATAAAGAAGACTTTTTAAAACAAATCTGTCAAGTGAAAATTGAGCTGTATCTTGGGGATTAAATTTTATTTTTTGATTTCATTATAGGTTATTTACCATGAGGACTATAAAAACAAGATCAAAGGCAAGTGGAGTCAAACTCCATGCTATGATGTTGCAATTGCGAAAATGAATGCAGAAAATATAAGTATGGTAAGTGAATTCTTCAGAAACTCTTGAAATGAAAAGCTTTATCCTCTGTTTATGTTAACCCGGAAAATACTGATTAATTTTGCCTGCTCCATTTGTGGTATTCCTCTTTTCCTAAATAAGCTACTTTGTGGATGTCTGATCTATAATGTAAGTGCATTTGATACGTTGTTATCTGTTTGTGTCTCCTCCTAACAGAAAAAATACCAGGAAGACTTTGAAAACATCAAAGACCAAATCTACTTTATGCAGACTGAAACTCCAGAATATGAAGCTAATAAGCGAGTTTCAAATAATGTCAGTAAGGTATGTTACGTGTGCTCCCATTGGTTTAGCTTGAGTACGTAGTTCTGCAGTCAGGCCAGTTTGTGCTGAAACTGTTTTGTCAAGCGTCAAAAATATTTTATTATATACAAAGATGTACTCTTGTGTACTTTCCACTAGGAAGCTTATAACAACTCCTAGCCATGCTTATGATCTTCCCCAATAGTACCCATGAAGTCGAATTTTCTTTCAGTGAAGTACAATTTGCTTCATTGTTTGTTCTGATTATGTTATGTGCCTGATTTTTAGTTGGAACAAATCAATACTGTTAACCAAGACCAACCTGAGCTAGCTGAATTTGGCTCAGTATTTTCATATTTATTCATCCTTGCTCAGTGTTTCTCAGTGATGTTGTGCTGGCCCACCTTTGTTCAAAATACAGAATTCGTTTGGCTTCTGCATTTTCTGCGACAGTATATGCATCAGCAAAGACAATCTTATGTCATTCATTGTAAGAATGTGATTATTCTGAGATGTCAACTGATGTTTGAAAAATTACAATGTTTGGAGAGGGACTTAGAATTGGGGACATCTACTAAATAGCTCTCACTTGTCTTCTGACCCTTCCTCCCATCTTATCATCCATGCACTCCTCTGATCCGAGTGCCTTTCATGGTCCTTTGCCATCATGAATCATAAGTTAAAAAACAGGGAAAATTTTCCTGAAAAGTTCTAGACGATATAGGTTAGTGAGTGTTTGGCTTTTAGTACTGATTTTTAAAACGTCACCCTTTTTTTTTTTTTAATTTTTTTAAAGGTAAAATACAGAGCAGACTATGAAAAGAACAAAGCTATTGCAGATTATAATGTGCTTCCTGCTACAGAGAACCCATTGCTGAGGCAATTAAAAGCTGCAGGAGATGTGCTGAGTGATGTAAGTATTATCAAAGTACAGCTGGATGATTTTCAGTCATGGACAATAAACCAAACTTACCATTTCTTCACAAAGCTTCTCCTTTGGATCTCTTAATATTTTTAGTTTTATAGACCAGTATTTGTCACGAGATACCACCAACTAGAACGGTGTATATAAGGAGCATTGAAAATGAAGATAGAAACCTAGAAGTGTGGAGGTTTTTATAACAAAATTTCCGAAGAAACACCTGAACTACACAGCATGGCTCTGCCTTGAGTGCTGTCCTATTGGTACATGTATTTATGTACCACAGCAGAGTGTAACAAGCAGAGTGTAACAATAGCTGTGGCATGTTTTGGGGATAGCTAATTATTGTATAGTTCATTTAGATCCCTGCGGAAAATGGATCACAAGATGACAGTTTTAAGGAACTTCAACTGATGCCAGTAATGATAAAATATGTGGTACTTTTACACATCCATATATATTGTATTCTAGTTACTCACTGTCATGGCTTTCTCAATTTCTCTCTTCATGCTGTTTTCATCTGTAGGGGAAGAGAGTGCGTATTTCTCAGTGTCAGAAGTTCAAAACTCATTAGTCAGACCTTTCTGTATTCCCTTACAAACCTAAGAGGCACTAAAAAAAGTTTTTTTACAAAATCATTGGGAAAAAGTGCCATCTGTTTTTCAGTCTTCTGGGGGAGCTTTTCTTTGCAATCATTTCACAGTTTTACTCTTGTCATTTTTAATGTGTTGTGAGTGAGGGAAATTTACTTCATTATCTGACATTATTTTCTTTTGCAGAAACTATACAAAGAAGCCTATGAACAATCAAAAGGAACCAGCATGAATTACTGTGACACACCGAAGTTCCAGACTGATACTGCTCTGAAGAATTATAGTGACGTATGTATTGGATTAACGTTATGTCATTCAGGACTGACGCTCTTGATTACTTTTGTTGATCAACTTGTGATTATTTTTCCAGGTAAAATATAAAGATGCATATCAAAAGAATATTTTAGGACACTATTTGGGCAGCTTTGAGGACCCACATCATACACACTGCATGAAAGTTGAAGCTATGAAGAGTGATGTAAGTGTGGCAATCATTCTGTTTTCACCATCACACTTTCATTTCAGAGAAAGCTCAGTTATGGTTTCTTACTGAATGTTGATTTTATTCCTAGAAAAATTACAAAGCAGAATATGAGGAGGATAAGACAAAATGCTACTTCCCTCAGACCATAACTCAAGAGTACGAAGCTATTAAGAAGTTAGAGCAGTGTAAAGATGTAAGTACGGGAAAGTGGTGGTTACCAAGTAGCCAATTACATGCAGAGTGTCTGCTGCTGAGGCATGTAGAAATCTGCAGAGTGATTCCTGTTAACTTCCATGATTTTGAATATGGCCTTATTAGCATATGTGACTTTTAAAACCCGTATTCATCTGTATTTTAGAGCCTTTTGTGACATCTAGTGATCAAGACAGATATAGCACAGTCTTTTTTTTAAGAAGTTAAAACATAAAATTAGATGAATAGTACCAACATGAAGAATGAACCTCAAGCATTTACCTGCTTAAGTCAACATATTTTTACATTAATACTTTAAAAGCACTTTAGTTACTTTATTAAAAGTAATTTTATTTACTTTAATCAATACTTGGAAAATACTTTAAATATATATTTGTGTATAATATGCAATATACTGTATCATATAGGATACATTATAATATTTATATACCTACTCAAAATATTTTACATTAATGCTTTAAAAATGCTTTAAAAAATTTATTTCCTCTCTGATTATGTTAAAAAGTAACATGAGAAGCATTGTGCATGACAGTGCTTATCTGCATGCGTGCTGTAACTGCTAACTATCCCAAGTAAAGCTACATTGCTGTCTTATAAAATACTTCTGCCTATATACATTTTCTGCAAATATATTCATTATTCTCCTTCAGCACACCTACAAAAAGCATCCTGATCAAACCAAATTTACTCAAGTGACTGACTCTCCCGTACAGAAGCAGGCAGAGATCAATAGCAGACAGCTGAGTGATGTAAGTAAATTTAGAAAACATGTTGCTACACTCTGATGTTATCAGTTTCTGCCCCATGGCCACCTTCACTCTATCATCCAGTATTAAGAGAACTCCTGAAATGAATGTGTAAGTGAATGTGTGTGCATATACACACATACAAGCACAAAAACTGTGTGTACTCGCAGTTCTGTTCCAGTGGAAGATCACCTGGAAATCAGATTGGTTTAGTTTTTCAAGTGGCTGTTCATGTCAAGGTTTAGTGTGTATGTTTGTAATTTTGTTTATGTCCATCATTCTTAATGTATTCTTCACACCAGTTAAGTCAATGGGGTTTATACCATTCACTTGGCAAGGACTAGGATTTCATCTGTCTGTCTTAGTGAGTGAGATAACATGAGATCTTTAAGTTGTGTCACAGCATTATTAAGCATTTACAATCTATAAACTTTGGTCTGCTAAATTTATTTATTTTTCTTTGCAGATAGCATATAAATCCAAAGGTGAAGAAATTATTCACAAGTACCACCTCCCTCCAGATGTGCCCCAGTTTATACAGGCTAAAGTTAATGCCTACAATATTAGTGATGTAAGTATATTTTAAATCCAGAGTTCTTGATTCAACTTACAATATGAAGTTTCTGTTAGCTAGAAACCGTTCATTCAAAATTCACCTTTTCTTCCAGAACTATTACAAAACGGGATTGGAAGAATTAAAATCAAGGGGATATGATCTAAAAAGTGATGCTATTCCTATCCGAGCTGCCAAGGCTGCTAGGCAGGCCGCCAGTGATGTAAGTACATCCTTCCTAAAGGAACTGTTTAATGTATAAGAGTTTACTTAAACAATGTTTGCTATTATGTTTATTAGGGATATCTGAAGGATAACTTCTTTATTGCCTTTTTTGAGCATGTTATTGGACGTATTTAACACAGTTATACTTTTATTGGTGTTTCATTGCTTCACTAATGTATTTGTATAATTACACTTTGAAAAGGCTGTTTCATTATGTAATTCTCTGTGAATAAACAGGCTATCTTGCACTCCAGTATGGTTAAGGAAAATCATGAGGAGTAGGTCAGTAGTGACAGCTCCATGAGCAATGGACCCCTGAATTCTCTCTGTCCTTAATTACAGGCCTGATCATAAATGAGATGAAAGACTCCAGGACATGACTGGGTTTTGGGTAGATTCTTGGGGATGACCTTGTGGAAGTCCCTTGGTATTTTAAGACTCCTCTCCCTTTTATGATCAGTACGAGTGAGATAATACTACTTTGAAAGCTAACTAACTGGTTCGTGTAGCAGTGAATTGTAGAGAGATACGTGTCTGGTTTTATTAAGATGTATGGTCACGGACTTAAATGTGAGGGATACTCTGTAGAAAACAAAGGGTAGCCTTTGCTTTTAATTTACTTATTGCTAAGTTACTACACTGAAGATAATATTCTCCATGTTCTATTATATTCTAACAGGTTAACTATAAAAAAGCCTATGAACTTGCCAAGGGTAAACTCGTTGGTTTCAAGAGCCTCCAAGATGATCCCAAACTCGTTCATTATATGAAGGTAGCCAAGATGCAGTCTGAGCGAGAGTACAAGAAAGATTACGAGAAAACAAAAACTAAGTACAACATTCCACTGGATATGGTCAATGTTGTTGGTGCCAAGAAGGCTCAAGAGATTGCCAGCAATGCTAATTACAAGAACCTCGTACACCACTATACTTACTTACCAGATGCAATGAATGTGGAGCTGACCAAAAATATGATGGAGATTCAGAGTGATGTAAGTAAAACCTCATGTGAACAGAATGTTTTTGAGATGCCTCAAGCAAAAACTGTGAAGACTCAGGAGACATCCCTGAACTGTTTTTTTCTAATTCCTAACTTCTAAACCATTGTTTTCACTCCTTTATTAGAATGCGTACAAATCAGATTATAATAACTGGATGAAAGGCATTGGTTGGATCCCCATTGGCTCCCTAGAAGTAGAAAAAGCTAAAAAAGCTGGAGATGCCTTGAATGAGAAGAAATATCGTCAGCATCCAGACACCATTAAGTTTACAAGTGTGGTGGACTCTCCAGTAATGGTCCAAGCCAAACAGAATTCAGTTCAACTCAATGATGTAAGTAGAGAAAGAAATGGGTGTTATAGTAGAGATGTATCTACTGGAGAGCTGAGCATTGTCTTTAAAGTTTTTTGAAGTACTATTAACCTGAAAGTGCTTCTCTGTGTTGTCATTGTTTTGTGCTCTGATTTTGCCTGAGTAATTTCCTGGTATAAGTCTGCAAAGACGTATGGAAATCATGTGACTCTTTCAGTTCACATCAGCTGATTCTGTCCATTTATATTTTAAGTATATTTGAAATACATTTGAATTAAGAAATGTGAAATTTTCAAGTTGTTTATTGATGTTTTACCACCTACAATAATGAATGAGTTACAGAATGTTTGATGAATCGCTGTTGTGATTTGTCCATTTGTCACATATTTGTCCATCACTATAAGCCAGCAAGCTTTGTTTTATGTTACACTCTCCTACCATCCCTTATTATTCCACTCTTTCAGAAATGGGTTTTTATGCCCATTAAAGGGCTTACTTTTACTGAGTAAAGACTGCATAGAGCTTTTAGGGTGTGTTCCTTCTATCAATAAGATCAACAATTCTGTATGAAAAGTGCAGCCTCAATCTTTATGAGATAGGTGCCAATGTACATTTATTTGCAAAATCAAACATAAACCCTCAGTTAATTTACAGTGAGCCAGGGCTAGCTATACAAGGAAAAAAGGATTTATTTCTGTATCATATATTTTACAGAAACTATACAGATCTTCTGGAGAGGAAGTTAAACATAAATATACTCTTACCCCAGATGTTCCACAGTTTATCCAAGCTAGATACAATGCAGCTAACATCAGTGATGTAAGTGACTTCTTTACAACATGTTTTACATATTGTTAATGAATTTTTGAGTAGTATGTTACAGATGCACTCATACTGCAGATTCACTGATAATGCAGTTCTATGTAATCAGCTTGTGTCACTGTAATTTTTCATTCTTGGTGTCGTTTGAATTTCCAACTAGATACCATTTAATCATGTAATAATTTAATTAATTTAATTAATAGATAAATCTGTTCTCATAAATGAAGACTGATAGTTGTATATGATCCCCACTGCATCTGGTTCTAAAGAATTGCCTGGAGTATCTTAAGAATAGCTTTGACTTGCATATAGTTCATGTGATTACTAGGTTTTCTTTTTTAGAAACTTACTGGATTTTCTTTTTTAGGCATATTATAAACAAGACTATCATGATCTAATAGCTAAAGGGAACAATGTGTCAGTTGATGCTATTCCAATTACTCGGGCCAAGGCTTCAAGAAACATTGCTAGTGATGTAAGTATCTATTCCAGGTATGCTTTTCTTAGGCATTTAGTGAAAAAGTTGTCCATTACAGGCCATATAGTAGACCTCATATGTTGCACAGGTCTCACTAGAGTCAATATTATGAGAAAGAGACTCTTAGTCTTTCCCAAAGGCTTAGTTTGTGTAGAACTTATTTTATGCTCATCTTGTTTGCTTTAGATAGGCAAATGCACTGTGTTTCTTAGCCTGCTTTTCACAGGAGAAATTAAATCAATAGTTCTTGCAATCATTCTGTGACAAATTTCTGAAAATACTCTACATTAGCACCTATTTACAGACCACGAGACAATATGTGCTAAGGGTGCTTTTGGTTATACAGTGGGGTATGGCTTATACATGAATCGGAAGGCCTTATAGTGCAAATTGCATAAAGTGGGATATGTTTCAGTGGTTTCATATAACTAGAGGAAGCTGTCCAGTCACATTCCATTTGTTTGCTATTGCTTTCAAATGACTGAGAAGCATTGTCTCAATTGTTCTGATATTTTTCATACACCTTTCAACACAGGAATACTTAGAAAACATTTTCTTTTCCTTACAAGAAAAGCTAATGTTGATAAATCTTATTGTGGCGTGTGTAACCTGTTATGTACAGGTGGAACAAGAAAAGCTAATGTAGGTACAGTCGCTGGGTGTGCCATTTAGGAGAGCTTATCTTTCTGAACTGCTTGCAGCTTCTTATTCCAGTGAAAGACATGAGAGCTTTTCTTTTCTTTTCTTTTGCATTAGTGTGGACATCAATAGCCATGCCACAGTACATTTGATCTCTTTCCTCTGTTTCTAGTATAAATATAAAGAAGCATATGAAAAGTCTAAAGGAAAACAGGTTGGTTTCAGAAGCCTGCAAGATGACCCTAAGCTTGTCCACTACATGAACGTAGCAAAGATTCAGTCTGACCGTGAGTACAAGAAAGACTATGAGAAGAGCAAGACTATCTATCATGCACCTCCTGACATGTACAGTATCCAGGCTGCTAAACAGTCTCAGGATGTAGCTTCTAATGTCCACTACAAGAACCTGATCCATCACTACACTTACCTGCCAGATGCCATGGATGTTGAGCTTGCGAAGAACATGATGCAAATTCAGAGTGATGTGAGTATTTCAATGACTGCAATTTCATGGAAGTTTTCCTGCACACTGTGAAAAATAACATAAGAGTTTATATTTCATGAAAGTTGCCATTACTGTATGGGAATGGTCTGTTTTTCTTATGTCTTGGGGAAAATTGTTAGAAGTTTTATCAGCTAAAGGTGGCATTTAGAAATACCAAATTCCAGGTGAGTTCTACTCAGCAGAATTTTGATGTTGGCCTATCAGTGGAGAGCAGACTTCTGGAATATTGAATTCAAATGAACTTTTTTTTCACATTTTCTCAGAAAACTTTATTTTGCAGCCAACATAATTTTGTTTTATTCTTTAAGGCTTCTTTTAAGTTGCCTTCCTTTGTCTTCACATGAGATAGATATGATAGTGTAGTTGGACTATTATTAACTATTTAGGATGAAGGAGTGGACAAAACGTAGCTATTGATATTGTTAGAAATACATTCTGGAGATCTCTAGTGTAGGAGATCTATCCTAGGACCTTCTTGGTCCTTCTTGCAGATACAGAATTTTAAGTGGTTGGCTGGGCGTGCATGGTTGCACTCTGCACCTCTTTGTATACTGTGGAATTTGACTCTGTATGGGTCCCTGTGGAGGACCACTCATTTTAGAGTTAGAACATGGAAGGGTCTTAAAAAAGGTTGTCCACAATATCCTTGCACTCAGACTGTGCATTAACCCTGTCTGAATGTTTATATTGGATAACCTTCTGCATATTTTGTAGCTAGGATAAATTTTTCACTTATGGTCTGTGAATTCTACATATTTTACTGTAGGAGGAACTATAGGAAGAGAACCAAAAATTGAGCCTCTGCTCTGTGGACCTTTGTATAAGGTCAGGTCTCACAGAGTCTGCTGAAATACAGAACGAATGAAACCATGTTAAATGGTCACCTTAGGGTAGTTTAAAAGTTATTAAGAATTGAAGGTTGGTGAAATTTTTCACATGGGTAAAAGAAAAGGAAGGTTAGTAAACACTGAAGGAATGTTACAGTTTATAAGAAATAAATGATGAAGAAAAAAATACGATAGCTCATTTTCTTCCTCATGAAATGAGAAGCATAAAAAATATCTGTTGTTCCTTTCAAGAATTTGTGAGTATTTCCTGCTAATGTAGAACACACTAGCTAGGCTGTGTGATTATTCTTTTAAACAGAATTATTACAGTTCTGTGGGAAAATCTTGGTCCATGTTGGCTTTCTCTCCTTCAGAATGCATACAAACAAGAGTATAACAGCTGGTTCAAGGGTATTGGATGGAGTCCTCTCGGTTCTCTGGATGTTGAAAAAGCTAAAAAGGCTGGAGATGCATTAAATGAAAAGAAATACCGTCAGCACCCAGACACCATCAAATTTACAAGCATACCAGATTCAATACCAATGGTTTTAGCTCAACACAACACCAAGCAACTGAGTGATGTAAGAAATTTTTCATTATTAATGCAATATAGTGATTTTATTTTTTTACCGTATTTATGATTTATATATTACTGTCTGATATTCCATCTAAAAAAACCTTTAAATTTGAAAAGCTGTAAAAATAGTAAAATTGCAATTTGTTGGTAAGAATTAAGCATTGTTGCATTGTCTCTATTTGTTAACACTGTTACCTACCTTGTACTTGTCAACAAGTTTTTGTTTATTTTTCCTTGCAGGTAACATATAAGCAAGAGGGTGAAAAAGTAAAGCACAAATACACCCTGGATCCTGATGTTCCTCAGTTTATTCAAGCCAGGGTCAATGCCTTCAATTTGAGTGATGTGAGCATATAACCAATAGTTTATTTATTTGTCATTTACTTAATAGAAAAAAACCCTTTTATTTATTTGTGCTATGATATTGAATATAGAAATGCACAAGCTCTGAATTCAGCTAAACTTTTACTTCTAGAAGTCAATGAGTTTTCTGCTTGTTAAGCAATTTTTTAAACTGTCTGAGCACTCATAAACACATTTCAGTGCTTTCTTAGAATCATAGAATCATAGAATCATCTAGGTTGGAAAAGACCTTTAAGATCATCCAGTCCAACCATTAACCTACACTACCAAGCCCACTCTAGACTAATCAAGGGTAGACCAGACTAAACCATATCCCGAAGTGCCACATCTACCCGTTTTTTAAACGCCTCCAGGGATGGTGACTCCACCACCTCTCTGGGCAGCCTGTTCCAATGCCTGACCACCCTTTCCGTAAAGAAATTTTTCCTAATTTCCAGTCTAAACCTCCCCTGGCGCAGCTTAAGCCCATTTCCTCTTGTCCTATCGCTAGCTACTTGGGAGAAGAGACCAACACCCACCTCACTACAACCTCCTTTCAGGTAGTTGTAGAGAGCGATAAGGTCTCCCCTCAGCCTCCTCTTCTCCAGGCTAAACAACCCCAGTTCCCTCAGCCGCTCCTCATAAGGCCTGTGCTTTGCCAGTTTATTGCCAAACTACTTGGATAGGCTGAATGAAAAGAAGGGCATGACTTATTATTCAAATTCCTATAGGTTTGGAGGCTTATGTTATCTACTTTTATATAAAACACATTGCATAGGCAAGCAGTACAAGTTCTCTGTATGTTGCTTCCTGCTGCTGGGCTTTCAAAAGAAATTACTTATACAGTGGAAAGATAGTAATGACTTTTTCTGCCATTCAGCAACTAGTCTGCCTGCTTTCCATCGCTTCTTGCATCCATCCAACACCATAAAGATCTCCACTGATAGTGTCAGTTTTATTGCCTTTGTTACATTAAATTTTTTGGTGGCATTATCAGGCCTCCAGGAACTAGGTAAAAGCTAATATCTCCTTTAATCCCATCCTGTAGAAAGCCTTGAAATACTATTAGTCTGTCCAGATGCTACATGCTAACAAAAAAATCAGCCAGACTGCTTCCTTCAGTCACTTAAGACCACAAGACCTAATTTTGAAGCTAACAGGAAAAAGTTCCTGAAGGTTCAGTCAAATGAGAAAGGGTTTTGCTTAAGCAAGGGCAAAAATGCCACAGATAGAGTTGTTCCGCATAAAAATTGCAAAAAATACTTATGGTGTTAATGATTTAGCTACATGAGTTAAACTGATTGTCTTGAAGGACTCTCCTATCTTTATAGTAGATTTATTTATCATAATATAACTGTATTTGTGTACAGGTTAACATTTTCCCCTGAAACTGCACAGACTAAACTGAATATTTTGACTCCTATAAGTATAACAAAAATACGGGCTTAAACAATGTTGTTAAAATTGCTACTCGTAACATTGCGAACTCATACCTTTTTTCCCTATAAGGCTAACTACAAAGCAGACTGGAAAAAAACCATTGCCAAAGGATATGATCTGAAACCAGATGCCATTCCGATTATTGCTGCTAAAGCTTCTCGAAATATTGCAAGTGATGTAAGTATGATTTACCTGAAGCGGAATACATACATCTACTGCGTTACAGTTCTCTGTAGCATGTTATGCTATAGAGCATCTGCTATATACGTATAATGGTATAGAGACACTTAGCTCCAAGAATTGAAACGCTGATGATACTGTGACATAACAAGCGAATTCAGATGTTTACATGAACCTCTGAAAAAACCTGTTTCTTTGGAAATGCATTTTAACTTGTGTGAGTGCTGGTGAGCTGGGGCTGTTTGTTGTATGTGCTTCAAGTATTCACCAACTTATTAAATAAGTTCCTGTGTTATAATTTACCTATGCTGTATTCTTAATTGCTGGAGACCTGTACTTCTACTTGTCTGGCATTCGTGAGCTGTGCAGAAATGCGGCTGTTTTCAGGCAGCTATGTCAACTGGCAACAGTAAAGCTTGGTGTGCCGTCTGACACAAGCTGTGAAAGGAGATTTGGAACACGGAAATAAATTCACTAACTTTAGCAAAAGGCTGCAAATGACTTCCATTCCCCACTTAAACATGCCTCCCCCTAGTAGCTGAATATTGGGATATCCAGTTGTTTGGTAGTCTTGGGCTTTTCAATAATATGTTATTATGCTGGTCTTTCAATTAAAAGCTGAATGTTACTGGGAGTTGCAAGTCTATGGCAGTAAAATGTAATATGGCAGAGGCAATGGCGAGGGAGGGCATGTAAGTGCATATCTAGATTTAGATCTATACCGGGGGTCAAGACAAGCTGAGAAATCCGGCAATCCTCTTCTTTTTTTGACCTAAATAATCCTGTGCTGTCTGAAAAACAATTTATGAGTTTATAAAATGAACTGCAGTTGTTAAAATACTGAGTTTCAAAGTATTAAAATTGTCAAAAGTATGTTTTCTCTCTCCAAAGTGGCTAAGGCTTTCTTTTTGTTTGTCCCTAGTACAAGTACAAGGAATCATATGAGAAAGGAAAAGGCAAACAGGTTGGATACCGTAGCCTGCAGGATGATCCTAAACTTGTTCATTACATGAAGGTGGCCAAAATGCAGTCAGATCGTGAATACAAGAAGGATTACGAAGTCACCAAGACCAAGTATCATACTCCTTTGGATATGTTCAGCGTGATGGCTGCCAAGAAAGCCCAGGAAGCAGTTACAAACGCTGGCTATAAACAGTCAATTCACAATTATACACTCTTGCCTGATTCTGTGAATCTGGAGCTATCAAGAAATGCGATGCAGCTACAGAGTGATGTATGTAATGATTAATCAGCTTGGTTTTTTCTTCTCAGAATGACTGTGTTACACTATTAACCTTTTAAGGCTAAAAAATGAAATATATTGGATTAACATTTAAATGTCTGGTCTGGAACCCTGTATTTTCCAAAGATTATCAGAATTATGTGTAGCTGATAAATTCTAGGGAACTTACCTAGCAAGTAACAACTTTCTTTGTATCTCTACATATTTGGCTAATTCTCAGCACATGAACATATTTTTCCAATTCGTGTATTTTTGTAGTTGGATTTGCAATTACAATGTGTTATTTCTATTGTCAGAGATCACAGGTTATGTACAGAGTCTAAATTCTGACTATATTTTATTTAAGTTTACTGAAAATATGCATTATGTATGTTTGTATTATACCTAGGCATTTGAGATTTATTTATTTTGCTCACTTTTCCTTCCTGCCTTTATCCTCCAACAGATGTGTATGCCATGCATGATAAGGATTCATAAAAAAGCATTGTAGTTTCTGTTAAGCTTTGTGACTCATTTCCATCTTTTTTCACTAGTATAACTTCAGGGTCTGCTTTTTTATCCAGAAAGTATTTAGTTTAATCTGCATTATTTAACAGTTGTGTGACAAATTTGAAATCCCCCAAAACGTTAATAATCTGATTGAAAGTATTCTTCAGATTCTATGCATTGTTTGGAGAGGATAATGTTCATGTTCCCATTGGCCAACAGATAGAGGATCTGACCTTTAGACACTGTTCTTTTCAAATACTGAAATTTTCATCTCAAGTATTTTGCTTCCCCATTGTATTTTTACCTAGCCTTGCTGAGTTGGCTGAGCTCGCTTGGTTGTCTAACTCAGGATGTTTGCAAGAAGTGTGGTACTTAAGGACAAATTTTGCCCTGTATACCCATGCTATGACAGTATGTGGTCTTTTTCTTGGACTCTGATATTATCCCTGTTAACCTCTAACGCTGCAGTTCAGGAACAGGTTTATTTTCACAGCATTTTTGTACCTTTTTCTATTCTAAAAGCCATGTTATAAAGTATGATTTAATAAGAATGGTGTCTATTCAAGACTGTGCAGAACCAGGCCATTAAGCAGAAGTTGCTGAAACAATTTCTCTGAATTAATTCTACTGCGAACTGAGTCTATTAACAAACAAGAGTGTAATTTTAAAACGTTATTATATTTTTGTCAGATTTTCATATTTAGCACTCAAAATTTGTTCTAAGGCCTGTGCGTTTGGTTTGTAGTATGAGTTCTACACATTGGTTTAGTGCAAAGAATTTCTTTATCCTTAACAGAACAATAGTTGTTAGTGTTATGCTAAGAATTTGGAAAACAATAGCAGTTTTCCTTCAAAAATGAGTGACCAGAAGTTTTAAGGCCTTACTTGTTTTCCTGTGTACGGGCATTCTAATTTTCCTTGGCTCACTGTGTTTTTCCTTGTTTATTTTTTAAAAGAATGTGTACAAAGCAGACTTTAATAACTGGTTGAGAGGAGTTGGCTGGATACCAATTCAGTCACTGGATGTAGAAAAGGCCAAAAAAGCTACAGAGATTCTCAGTGAAAAGAAGTATCGCCAGCACCCAGACAAGCTGAAGTATTCTATTACGATGGATGCAATGGAACAAGTGCTAGCTAAGCAAAATGCCAAGACCATGAATAAGGTGAGAATTTGTTCAGATGATCATGACTGAGCCAGAGATTAGGTCTTTTTCTTGCAAAATTGTGGGACAGGTGCATTCCCACTGAAGTCATTAGAATTTCAAATGGGTATAGTGGTTTGCTTGGTTAAGACACAACACTAAGAGATGATGGAAGCCTCAGACTGTATTCATAATTAAGGGATTTTCATTTTCTGCTTATAAAGATTAAAAATTTCTCATTTGTGTATGTGATTAAAGATGTCTTGTCCAGACTAATAGTGCTTTGTACAGTTTTGTACAAGTTTCCTTGAAAAGTGGAGTTCTTTAAATTTGTCCCTAGTTACCTGGGACACCACAGATCCTTATTCCATGTTTGCCATGGAAAGAGGGTGTGTGGAAAAAAAAAAAAACCCAAAAAAACCTTCGCATTAAAGCAGGGAAGAATGCAGAGTGAAATTTTTCAGTTTCAATATTTATTAGTTATCAAAACATACTTTGCAAATGTCTCAAAGTACTAAAGAAAGAGGAGGAATATAATCATAGAATCCTAGAATCGTTTAGGTTGGAAAAGACCTTTAAGATCATCCAGTCCAACCATTAACCTAACATTACTAAGTCTCGGCAGTTATATTTGTGAAGATTACGTGTAGTGCTTATGGAACCTTACTGTAAAGTATTATTTATTGCAAATGAGCAAACCAAAAGTAAGCTCTTATTTTATGAGTACAATGCCTTTTCAATGCTAAATATTACTTTGTAATTGCAGAGGCTCTACACCGATAAATGGAACAAAGAGAAGACCAGCATTCATGTTATGCCAGATACTCCAGAAATTCTGCAGTCTAGAGTGAACCAGATCACAATGAGTAATGTGAGTTACCAGGCCCACAGTGGGCATTCGATGTCTGTTGCATAGATCAAAAATTGGCGTAATTTTTGTGTCATTTTTTTAAAACATGTAAATTCAGATGTAGGGCACTTCAGTAGTTCTGCCTTCATAATAGGGTACCTGTTCTCTTTTACATTTTAACTTAGAAACTTTACAAAGCTGGATGGGAGGAAGACAAGAAGAAAGGTTATGACATGCAGCCAGACGCTATTCCAATAAAAGCAGCCAAAGCCTCCAGAGACATTGCAAGTGATGTAAGTTTGATTGTGTGATCGTACTCAGAGTAGCTACAAAGACAGACAGAATGTTTTCCAAGTGCTCTGTTACACGCAAATGTGGTTTTTTTTCAAGCATCTTGAGTTGTCTAGGTTTCAATTACATGCTTGATGGCATAAACCTTTGCAGTACTTGCTCTCTAGTGGAATAACACTGAATTGTGCTTTTTTGCTTTTTGTTCAGCAAGCTGCTGAGCTTCATGTTCCTGTCGTTCAGTGGGCTATTTTGTAAGACTGAGTGTGTTTAAATGACTAAACCTGAGATCTTGTAATGAAAAAGAACAAATATTTTCTGTGTTTTCAGAGATAACATTGAGCTTAAGAGTGCACTTTTTTGATTTAAGTTTTTGCTGTTCTTTCTCTTTCCTGCTGTCAGTATAAATACAAACTGGCCTACGAAAAAGAGAAAGGAAAACATATTGGGTTCCGCAGCCTTGAAGACGACCCCAAGCTGGTGCACTTCATGCAGGTGGCTAAGATGCAATCTGATCGTGAATACAAAAAAGATTATGAGAAAGCAAAGACTAATTTCCATACTCCAGTTGACATGGTCAGTGTTGTGGCAGCCAAGAAAGCACAGGAAGTGGCTACAAATGTGAACTACAAAAACTTGATCCATACCTACAATGTTTTGCCTGATGCTATGAGTCTTGAATTAGCCAAAAACATGATGCAGATACAAAGTGATGTAAGTGAGAGACTCTTCACCTTTGCATTACAATGATGATTACTTTATGAAAGTATACTGTAAGATAAATAGTACTATTTTCTTAGTGAAATTAGTTGTTATGTACTAAAATGTAGTAAATTAAATGAGACCTTCAGCAATGATAGCCATTGTATTTTTCTAAGACTCTGAAATATTAAATTATACCTATTGCTTAAGAATTTGGGCTCAGAGATAAGCAATTTTATGTATAAAGTAAAATGGATATTTACTGCTTACATGTCCCATCAGGCTCTTCAGGGGCAATACTTGTGTGCAGGCCAAGATGGGAAAAACTTCACTTTTCATTAATAGTTTTATCTTGTACTTCCAAAAAGATATCTTTTCAGAAGAAGGGGAAACCAGCAAAGTGGCTATATTCTCAGATTTTCTGGGATGTTTAACCTCTAGAGAAGAGGGCCTTTCTTTTCTCCGTATAGTGATTCAAGATAATCTTCCTCTTAAAGAGAGCCTTAGCATGTAATCTCATGCAAGCAATCTATATACATCATAAGGAGGATCTACCGCTGTATAAAAGGCAGAGTAATAAAAGACAGCACTGTAACAAATGTGTTTCTAAATAAACCTTGAATACATATTGATAGTTTGCCTATTTTTAGAGTAAGTGCATTCAAAATCTAAGTCATTAAACACAGAAAGAAGTGTCACGATTTACAGACTTTTTCATGCATCTGATTATTTTCTCTTCTTTCTGCTTCCAGAATCAATACAGAGCAGAATATGATGAAAGTATGAAGGGTGTTGGATGGATGCCACTGGGCTCCATGGAAGCTGAGAAGAACAAAAAAGCGATGGAAATCGTTAGTGAAAAGAAGTATCGCCAGCATCCAGACAAGTTGAAGTATTCTGTTCCTATGGATTCCATGAACATGGTCTTAGCTTTAAACAATGCTAAAATCATGGATGAGGTAAGAAAGTGTTCATCGAAACTCATTTAAGTTTGCAGCAGTAAGAAATGAACTATACCTGATGTAACAGTCAATCTTACTGTATGCATAGCTTTGGAAATTGTCAGTTTTGGCAGCTAATGAATATGCTTGACTGTAATTGTATTTCATCTTAATAGACCTTTAATATACCTGAAAGCAAAGCATGACCCTAATATTTCTAAGAAATATGTATAAAGACAGACCTGGAGGTCACATTTTATTAATAAATATTTAATTTAATTACATTTTTAATT